GCAGCAACATTCAGTGCCAATCACTATCAACGGGAGGGATTTGAAAGAGGTTACTTCATTCACTTATATAGGGAGCATTGTCTCAACTACAGGAGGAACGGACGAGCATGTCAAATCAATAATCGGGAAGGCAAGAAACACATTCATCAACCTGAAACCAATCTGGAAATCTTCGTCACTCAGGCTGCATCAACAACAAAATTCGAATTTTCAATACAAACGTCAAGTCAGTCAGTTCTTCTATACGGATCAGAAACTTGGCCAGTGGGTCACAAAGAATATTTCCAACAGCCTGTTGCAGATCTTTATCAACAACGGTCTTCGCTCTATACTGAAGATGAGATTGCCAAAAAGAACAAGAACCAACAAGAAACTATTGGTACGGACAAAACAAGAACCAATCGCCCAACAAATATGCAGGAGAAAGTGGAGATGGATTGGACACTCGCTGAGGAGGCCATTGGGTGACATTGCGTGTCAGGCCAATGCTCGAGTGGAACCCGAAAGGTAAGCGGTGAGTGGGACGTCCAAGGGTGAGATGGAGGAGATGGTGTGAAGAAGAGTTGAAACAGTATGGACTAGCATGGATGCAGGTGAAAAGTACAGCAGAAGACAGAAGCAAGTGGAGATGTGTAGTTGAAGCCCTATGTTCCACTAGGAACCCAAGGGAAAAATAATAATAAATGCTGTCCATCTATACTGCATACATCCACAGGTTTTCTGTTTTTCAAAATTAGTGAATCATCGATACTTCCTATTGTTGATGAAGGCATATTTCTCCCCAAAAAAATTTCCACGATCAATAAACATTATTGATGAATATTTTAGTATTTGATAAACAACTTGACTGTATATGTTTCTTACGCTAATAAATATATATATATATCCTTTTAGAATGCATAAACATCTTCTTACGACAAAATAACCGCTTCGACAAAAAAAAATAAAATTTAATTGTGAAGGTAATGCCAAAATATATACACATACATTTATCATGAAAATTTCAACTGAATAATTGTGAAAGCCTGCTGTTTACATGAAAGAGTTTATTCAGCTTATGGTGTGATCAATGTCATGATGTTATACATGCGTGTGCAATATATACGTGTGAGAAATCACACCACTTCTGACTGTGATGTAAGTGTATGGAATGCGTTTTTACAGATACGTGCCTCTGATTTATTAAAGACAAAAGAGTTTATAAGTGGCAGTTTGCAGAGATTTGATTGATTTCAGTAAGGCGGCAAGTTAGAAGTGATGGTCAATGAGCTAGCCTCGTAATTACTGAAGAGTCTGAAACTAGGACGAAACACCTGCCTAGTATTCCCCTATTTACCAGTTGCTCTTTAACTGAAGTCAACTTGTGATCAAACTTAAGATAAAAGAGAATTATTCTTCTAAATCCTTTTTTCGTCCAGAGGAGTTTTTAAATGAGAATAGATTACAATATATTTACAACTATGTTGGGTTTCTGGCGGAACATAATGTTTCCAGCTTTGGGAATGTTCGTTATTTTCTGGTAGGGAGGAGTTGTTAGCCACCAACTTAACCCGAACCATCTTCATGGCTAGCTAGATTTCTACAAATGAACTATTAACTCTGTGAGTTTATTCACATTGCCTGGATAGTATAAAGATGTTGTAACAGGGAATAAAGATATGAGATAACTTTCAATAACATAAATCTAAACTCTCAGATGACCTGACTGTTTCGCTTCCCGTTAAGTCTCAGTCATACTGCTTTAAATTAAATAGCTTCCCCTCGGACATCATTTAGTGGTCTAAACTAAATGGCCTTAAGCTGAATCCCTCAAAATGCCAGACTATTGACTTCTCCTTTAGGCATAAACGAGATCTACAAACGCTAGTAAGTACTCATGAAGCCTGTTGCATTGAGGGGACTAAAATTGAAACTAAGTCTAATGCAAAATACCTCGGTCTAGTTCTATGTTCCGACCTTACTTGGACATCTCATATCCTAACGATTTCTAAGAAAGTGTTCTGTCTTACCTACTACATTAAGAAACTTAGACAACCTGGAATAACCCAACCTCTACTTTCACAATTTGTCAACTCTTGTATCTTACCTATTCTACTTGACTGCTCCTCGTTAGTCTTTCCTGGTCTACTGAAAAAGGACTATACCACACTGAGAAGGATGTGGAAGGTAGTTAGTAGGACTAGTGGTGTAAAACTCAGTCAGCTCGTCACTACATTAGCAGAAAGACATCTGAATACATGCGAAAAATGGTCTAAAACCATACTCTCCGACCCCCAACACCCCCTCTATTCCCAACTCTCTCCTTGTATCTCATCAAGTAAAACCAGAAATCAGTATAAAATAATTTATGCTCGTACAACCAAGTACAGGAACTCAACGATACCATACTTGGCCCGTGTTCTAAACGACAGAGACAATGTTAAGAGCGAAACCTATGACTTGCTTTGTTGTTAATAACATAATTTTTGGCTCTTTTATTTCTCTCTTATTTTGTATTCTATAGTGAACATTTCCTTAAACACTCTTAGCTACCTAAATTATTAACATTGGCTTACTTTTGTACTTTACTATATTCCTTCTTTTGTGTATCTACTGGTTCCGACTATATTAGCACTATGAGTATCACAAAATTATCCTGTCATTAACCATCATGTAATTATTAGCTATTGTGGTTGTTGTTTTTTTTGTTTGGCAATATTAACTGAAAATCTTGGTTGTGAACGCCATTATCACCATCTTAAAATTTTGTATTATGCAGGATTACTTACTCTACCACTACAAACACCGCATTAGAGCTGTCAATAAAAACCCTGAAATGTTATTTTATGATTGTTTAGTGTTGTTTCAACCAAATTAACTGATCTTCTTGGCGATAAACATTCTTAAATATCATTTCAGAACTTCTTGTATGACTACAGCTTTACTGTCACCATGTATAATCATATCATAGCTTCCACTACCCAATACTGAGTTGTTATTATATGCTGTTTATTTTCCTTTATACTTCTTGGTATTTTTTCGCATTTTTAAAATTATTTTGTGTTTTTGCTGTTTTTTTTGCTGTTCGTATCTTTATATTTATTCTTTTTTGAAATACTCATTTAAATGTTTGAAAAAACAGATGCAAATATTGTAGATATGTGCTGAAAATTCCACACTGTACCACTAGTACTGTTTCTGGAATAAAACAAATTATTATAATTCTCACCTTAGTTATGCTTCATTATGTATAAACTTGTTACTTTATTCAACCCCTTACATTCCGAGTGGAACATGGGGCATCAAACTTGAGTTTCGGAGTTCAAGTAGCTGTAGTATTTAGCTTTTACGGCATAAAGTTATCAAATGCACTCATAGCCTTCCCCCTTTAATGAGCCCACTACCAACCAACGGGAGTACGCTTGTTGGTGATAGAATCGTGAAACAAGTGAGGCTTGGTTAGTGAGTATACAATCCATCAAACAATTGTTTTATTCCTTTACGTTCCCAGTGGAACATAGAGGGCTTCAAGATACAGGCTTGAATTTCCCGTAGCAGTGGATTGCTGTTTTTGCGGGATGGGATTGCTAGCCTCACCTGGCCTAACCTTCCCTCTTTACCAGTCCTATCAGTGGCTTAGCGAAGTAAAGGGGTGCCTCGGTGGCCGAGGATCGAACCCCGGACCACTTGCGTGGTCGTCGAGAATTCTACTGCTGTGCCTCAGTCACTGATGCGCTTTAATTTGTAGTGACTTGTAGTTACGAAAGCAATCTACTCACTCTTTATAAAGACTAATTAAACGGAAACTAAGTGAATTGTACTCACCTACAATGTTCAACAGACTGTTTACACAATCTTACAACTATTACTCACAGAATCTATTGGATTTTGAAAATAGCAATATCAATGATATACTGAGGATTATAATGACTGGTCAGAAAAGAGTACTGTAGCGATGAGCTAGGCAAAACCCTAATATCAAACAAATACACAGGAGGGAGGGAATGAATGTGGAAACAATCAAGTAACGTCACAAGTTGCAGGCCGTAAGGCACAACCCGAGCAGTAATCAACCAGTTGGACATCTATGTGTAAAATAAAGGGGATTATATGAAGAGCTAATGAACTCTGGTGGGTAGTTGTGAAGCCAGTAGAACTTTGTGTAATAAAAGTTTGAGTCTGAAGACTGATTTTCTAAACAGACTGCAGTTCGAGTTGCCACTCTCCTTCCATGTAGCACACAAAGCAAGAGAAGACAGTAAACAGACATTAAAATAAGAAGTAATAAACAAAGGTGCAAGTGAGGGAAAAAGAATATTTGTGCGGAAGAACAGCAGAATTTTATTGGATATTATAATTCACAAGGAGTGGATGCATCTGCGCGATCGGAATTGATTTTAAGCCATATCACCAGTTGTCTCCAGCCATTGGTTTTACTATCCTGGGGACTTCAACCAGCCAGGAGTCCACATTTCTCTACGTGGCTTAAACTAACTGTTGTGGATTTCATTGACTGATAAAGCCATGTTTTGGTTTGACCACCACTACCTTTCCTTTGATAACCCGATCAATCCCTTGCTGGCAGTTCATACTGCCCGTCGAGGAAGGCGACGGTTAGTCACTGTTGAAATTGTTTCACTTATCACTTGCCTTTCGCCACCTGTTTCCCTGTTAAGTCGAAATAGTTTTCTGGTGTTGCCTATCACCGATGACTTTTCCATCGCTTTCTCTTTTGTCGACCATCGTTGTTCATGGTCGATATGAAGACTTCTTGTTAGTTTGCTTTTGAGCACCTTTCTCTCCTCATCATATTTTTTCCGAAAGAAGAAGAAACGTTTTCTTGTATCAACCATGGATGGATATTTAACTTTGTCAACTGTCATATCGTTATTTAAAGTTATCCATTGTCTTTACTGTCTCTTTTCTAATTATTTTAAGACTGACAATATATACGCAAAAGTTTTTAGAATTTTAAAAATATCAAAGATAAAAAATCATTACTTCATGACTACGGAACTCACGATGAACTATCCGATATGGATGATTTGAATAAAAGTCCAAATTAAGACCCCATTGAGCAGCTTTAATACACACTAATATGAGAAGGTAGAATACAGAGATAGTACCTAAAACAAGACAAAGAAAAAGCAACATAATTGTTATTCAAGAATTGCTTTGTAGGGATTTGATTGATTGGTTACAAGATTTCATCATGAGCTGACATTGGTTAGGTAGGTAGGTAGTTACCTGGGGGTTCTAGTGTGAATTCGTGGCCAGTAGGGTGCAACAGGTCGGGTATGAGGACAAATACTCGCCGAAGACATTGGTTAGCGGTTGCGCTATTTCGTGAATTGGCAGAAGTTGGAATTCGTGGGTCATTGGATTGGGTCCCAGTGGCTTAATGGTCTGCGAGCTCACTTGGCTTGTAACTAGAAGGTCCTGGGGTGGGTGCGTTCTGATGAAGAGTCCCGAACCAGGACGAAACAGTTGTCTGGTACTCCCAAACCAATCTAGGCTCATGATGAAATCCTGTAACCAAAATAATTTTATTTTCAAGTATTGGTTCTCATGGATTCAGTTAATTTCAAGTTAGGTCAAGGATCGGCTTCATGCAGAGAATCACTGCCAATGCTGTAATTCAAAAGTCAACTGAATTTACAATACATGAGTCAATGGATTATATCTTGTTGGCTGAATGGGGTTTACCCAGGGCTCTGAAGGTCCTGGGTTCAATCACAAGTGCACACCGCTACGGAGCTCAGAACAAAGACGAAACAGTTGTCAATTACACTCTCATTTTCAGTAGTTGCATAAATAAAGTCAGTCCATGATCCAGCTTGAGGAAAATGTCCAACCTGGCTAGCAAAAGGAGATTGTAAGTGTGTCTGTAACTCAGTTATAGGAAATCTAATGATCCCTGGACATTCAACTTCATTCAAAAACGCCTTCAAAGTTCCAATCAAACCTCTCAAATGTGAAGTGAGATCAAAGAATCTAGATTTAGCTGAAGCATTAGCGATCTAACAATTCAAGCTAACGCTGTGTAACCAGAAAGTATTGCGCCCAACCTTCGTCTTTACCTTGGCCATCATAAATTTTTCATTTTCTCAACAACAAATGTTGGTTTGCAGGGATTTGATTGGCCACAAGATTTCATCATGAGCTAATATCAGTTAGAGAGCCATTGGAAAAGCTATGCGTAATGGATAACTGGTTGCTTCGTCCTACTATGCGACTCTTCATCCGTGCGCACCCACCCCAGGGTTCATAGCCAGGACGTACGGGTTGTGGAGTGAGCTAGTATACCATTAAACCACTGAGATCCGATCCAATTGCCAGTTCATGAATTCCAACTTTTACTAATTCATGATTCTTAGCGTCACCACCAGCCAGTGTCATCGAGGCGACTATCGGTAATGAAACTAAACCGGACCTTGTAGAGCCAGTGGTCCCGAATTATCACTAGAACTCCAGGGACCTTCATCCTACATCTAGGCAACAGCGAAAGCAGTTGAAGTGTCTACGAGGTCGCCTTGTAACCGGAATGTCCTAGGTACGTTCTGCTACCAAAAGGTTCCAAACTAAAGCGAAACAGTTCTGGGTTTTAGCGGTTCCCCAACCTATATCAATCGGTGATCAAAACTTGAAATCAATAAAATCCCTGTAAATTAGATCTTGAAAACATTTTACCGAAATTCTATCCAAATAATTTCTGACTAATACAGAAATTCGCGTCAGTGGCAAAGAGGTAGAATGCTCACCGACCATGCATATGATCTGGGGTTCGATCTCCAGCCACCGAAGCACTCCTTCACTTCACTTAGCCAGTAATTAAATTGGTAAATAAGGAAGGTCGGGGCACGTGAGGATAGTAATCCCACCCCGTAAAATTATCAAACCACTGCTACCGAAACCTTAAGACTCCAGCTTGGAGCCCCCTCCGTATATTCCACTTGGAACGTAAAGGAATAAAAAATAATTAAAAAAAACTCTTACCAAGTGCATTAAATTTTCCAAGAAATGTTGGTGATTTAATTGAAATCAACGGTATGATGACGATTAATAACCAAGCTGGTACAGTACCAGTTTTTGACCATAAACGATCATACAATGAAACATAAGTATTACTATCTGAATGATTAAATAATTGACTGCCACTAGTAATCATTGGATTAATAATAATGTTTGCTTCATCACCTACAGGCACTAGCGGTAAGTTAATGCAAACAGCTGAAGAAAAGAAAGAAAATGGAAAAAAGAGGGGGAAACAATTGACAAATGATTATTTAAGAAAATGAATTAGTAATGCATTTATTATGACTATATGTGTGTCAGTAGCACTTAGATTGAAAATGAAGATAAGATCCAGATTTTCAATTCCAGTGTGAAGTCAGTGCTATTATATGGATCGGAGACTTGGCGCCATGTGACGATGTGCACTTGGAACAAACTACACACCTTCATCAACAACTGTCTTCGCTCGGTACTACTCAAGATCAGATGGCCGACCAGAAAAAATCAGCAACAGGGATCTCTGGCAATGAGTGGACCAGCCTAGAAGGAATCAGTTGTGTAACAAATCTGCAGGAAGAAATGGAGGTGGATTGACTATACTCTGAGAAAAAAACCACCAAGAGAGTGACATCACACACCAGGCCATCGCTCGAAAGGAATCCTAATGGGAAGCAGCGAGTTGGTGGTCACTGCGAGGGTGGGGTGACATGGAGGAGGTGATTTGAAGAGGAGATGAAAGCATATGGGTAGACGTGGAGCCAGGTGAAAAGGTTGGCAGAGAACCGGAAGCAATACAGACGTGTGGCTGAAGCCCTATATTCCTCTATGAACTAAAGGAAACAATAACAATAAATGTGAATGTGTGAAACAGGAGTGGGGTAAAAGACAGATGAATGAAATACTACTTGTATGCATATATACACACAATAATACCTGGAGTAGTAGTATATGTAGTCACCTCTTTAATTCCATTTGTTAGATTTTCAAAAGTCGATTTGTAAGGGTTTGATTTGTTTTTCGAGCAAGACTACGGACTGATATCAGTTAAAGGAACATCAAAAACTTCCAGGAAGTATTGGACAGCTGTTTCATTCTAGTTTGGAATTCATCAGTGGTACTCAAACACTGGTGCGTCGGTGGCATAGTGGTTAGGACGCTCGCCGACCATGCGCATGGTCCGGGGTTCGATCCTCAGCCGACTCACTCCTTTACCTAGCTAAATCAGAAATAATGCTGGTGAAGAGGAAAGTTTGGGCATGAGGCTAGCAACCCCATCCTGTAAAATAAACACTGCTACAGAAACTTCAAGCTACTAGCTTGAAGCCCTGTGTTCCACTGGGAACGTGAAAGAAAAAAACTCAAACACTGGATTCTGAACCTAGAACATTATGGTTACAAGGCAATCTCGTAAAACATTCAGCCACTGGAACCCGATTCAGTTGCCCAATCGGTGATTTTTAGAGCAACTACCCACAAATGTCATAGGTGGAAATTATATCTTCACTGCCGACTGACGGTCACGCTTGAAATCACGCATTGGAATAAGTAAAATTTCATGGACCATTCAATTGGGTTTCAATGGCTGGATGGTATACAAGCCTACCCCGCAACCGGAAGGTCCTGGGTTCGAAACCCAGCAGGCGCGTATAGCTGATGAGTCCCAAACTAGTAATAAAACAACTCTCCAATATTTGGTAGATTGCCTAAATATCAATTGTCAGCTCATTATTGTTACCTGGGTGAATGTCTTGAAGCTATAGTGAAAAGTTGGGAATACCTGCATCAGTGGAGCACTTGTGGCTGATGGAAGCTATTGGTGATGGTAGCGTGATATCACGAGAATATCTGTAGGAAACATCATTTCAACCACAGGCGAAAGCATGGATGAAGATATCAAAGCCAGTCAGGATCGAAAAGACAAGATACACCTGCACCAATCTCAGGTTTTAGTGAAAATCTTCTGCACTCTGCATAAATAACGAGATTTGGATTTAAGTTCAGTCACTGATCTCTTATATGTGCCAGAAACGTGGCCAGTACACCACGAATAGCATTTCTAGCAGGCTATTGCATACCTTTTATCAACAGCCGCCTTCACTGGCTCTACATTAAAGAACAACTGGCCAGTGAAATTAGTAGCAAAACCGATTGCTCAACAAACAGACAGAAGAAAATGCTGATGGACTGAGCACAGGCTGAGGAGACCCTCGAATAGTATAGCTCATCAGGCCCTCAAGTGGAATTCGACAGGGAAATGACGAGTCGGATTGTGTTCCTAAGATGACGAAAATTAAAGACTATGGACAATCGTGGTCCTAGTTAAAGAGGACAATGGAAAATAGAACAAAGTGGGGACGTAGTGTTGAAGCCCTATTTCCTACTCGGAAGCCAAGAGAATAGTGGTATTAATATCACTAAATTGATTTCAATTACTTCAATATCGATTTTATCACACATCAACATCAGGTCGAAGCAACATTGAAAGTCAGCGAGTACTGAAGAGCTATTAGTTTTATTTCGGAACTCTTCAACAGTACGCACACATGACCATCGAACACACCAGGAGATTCACGTGACATTTCTAGCTTGTAGACCATTCAGCCAATGGGAAGGAATAAAAATGGCCTATCGATTCTAACTCCCCCCAAAAGAAGTCATCTCATCTTGAAGTCAATCGAATCTTCAGAAACCTTTTATCTATGATACATCAAAGGCATATTTTACATTTCAGAAACAGGTGGTACGATTTCCCACACACTTACTTTTTATTCTATGACATCAAAACATAGATCACGCCATAAAGTGAATAATCTCTTTCATCTCAATTTGTTTTACGTTTTATCCGATGACAGATGCATTTGTATTATTCACAGTTTCATTTTAAGTGACACTTTGATGTAGAGGTTATTTTCTATTAAGAAAATGTTTATGCACTTTAAAGGGAAATCTTCGTCATTCAGCCTGCATCAACAACAAAATTCGGATTTTCAATACAAACGTCAAGTCAGTCAGTTCTTCTATGCGGATCAGAAACTTGGTGGGTCACAAAGAATATTTCCAACAGCCTGTTGCAGACCTTTATCAACAACTTACTGTCTTCGTTCCATACTGAAGATCAGACGGCTTAAAAGTATCACCAACGAGAAACTATGGGAACAAACAAAACCATAACCAATCGCCTAACAAATATGCAGGAGAAAGTGTAGATCGATTGGACACTAGCTGAGGAGGCTGCTGCGTGACATCGCGCGTTAGGCCAATGCTCGAGCGGAACCCGAAAGGGAAGCGGTGAGTAGTGGGAGGTCCAATGGTGACATGGAGGAGATCGTGTGAAGAGGAGTTGAAACAGTATGAACTAAAATGGATGCAAGTGCAAAGTACAGCAGAAGACAGAAGCAAGTGGAGACGTGTAGTTGAAGCCCTATGTTCCACTAGGAACCCAAGGGAACAATAATAATAATTATAACTCTAGAGGGATAAGGGACCTAATTTTAGACTCTAAGCAGCAAGAACTATCAACGGAATGTGACCACACCAGTAACCTTGAATGAACCTATGAGTTTCTTCATGTTCGTCGGTGGCACAGTGGTTAGGACTCTCGCCGACCATGCACATGGTCCGAGGTTCGATTTCCTGCTGACACACACCTGATATCTACGGTCAGCCTGCAAAATTTCGGCTACTGATATCACATGCTGAAAATTCCATACTTGTACCAAAACATACGGCTTGGAATTAAGATGTAATCAAAAAAATTTCAAGCCTCTATTCCGCTTCACTCGGGTAAAATCCCAGCTCTGATGGAGTTACGTGTAAAATTTACCGAAGATCAAGTTCTTTCGTATTGCTTAGATATGGGATTCATTGGAAAGGAAGGCACTTGTTCCTTTGGGGGTATTTTGAATAGGAGAAAAGCTTCACTAATTCGGTTGGTGGACATGATCACTATTGTGAAATTTGTTTTCAGCGAGTTATTGTTAGGGAAGGTAAGTTGATGATTAGACTATTTCGCAGGAACATTTTTCGCTGCATGCCATCTAACCCAGACTTTGTATATTTGTAACTACTGAGTTTTAAAAAACATTTTGAGAGCTACAAAGTCCAAGGAAAACAGTCTTACCTTAAACCCCTCCAAATGCCAAACAGTCAATTTCACCTTTAGGCATAAATCCGACCTAAACAAACTGGTTGGCTCTCACGAGGTGTGCAACATAGATGGCACTGAAATAGAAACCAAGTTGGAAATTAAATACCTGGGCATCATTCAATCTGCTGATCTTTCCTCGTGGTCTCATATACTGATGATTTCTAAGAAAATATTCCGTCTTACCTTCTACATCAAGAAGTTAAGACATTCTGGTATAACCCAACCCTTACTCCTACAATTCGTTAATTCTCACATTCTGCCTATTATTCTCTATTGTTCCCCCTTAGTTTTTCCCGGGCTACTGAAAAAAGACTATACCTTATTACGCCGAATGTTAAAGGTTGTCAGCAGGGTAAGCAACGTGCCACTTAACCAGCTTGTTAATATTCCGGTCGACAGGCACATAGACTTATGTGAAAAATGAGCCAAATCCATTTTACCTAACTCACACCACCCTCTTCACTCACAACTCTCCCCTTGCATCTCATCAGGCAAAACCAGAAGCCTATATAGAAAACTACATGCTCGCATCAGCAAGTACAAAACTCAACCATACCCTACTTAGCTCGTGTTCTGTGCGATAAAAAAAGAATTAGGCGTGACACCTATAATTCATTAAATAGTCAGTAGTAGAACTGGACCTCGTCTTTCCAACTCATATCATTTACAGGTAGAACATTTTCTTCCTTTCTTTTCCTTTTCTCTCCCTCTCTCTCTCTTTTTCTCTTTTTTCCGTTATGTGCTGCTTTGTTTCTTTATTCCGCTTACGCCAGCAAATATGATATCACCTACTTTTCTAACACCTTCAAACACTGTTCAACTTTGTTGTCATAATGAACTGAGATTTCCCTAATCTATGTAGAATTCTATTTATCGATAATGTACTAACTGGATGCAATACTGTAGTAAAAATGCTGAGAATTCTATTCTGTATCACAAGTACTGTTTTGGAATAAAGCAAATTATTATTATTACTACAATTGCTGAAACGGCGAACAATCTCTTTCCAAAAGTTCAATGGTATCAGCACTGCAGATTTATTACATCTTGGTGGATGGAGAGAGGACAT